ATTCCCAAGGATGCTGATTGCTACTATTTGAGGACAAGGGGCACTGGAAGCAAAACTGCCCTAAATACTTGCAGAATCTGAAGGATGGGAAAGTGAAACCCACCCACGCAGGTATTTACACAATATTGTCTAATAACTCACCATATTCTAACTCTTGGGTGCTTGATACAGGATGTGGTATTCACATATGTTCTGATTTGCAGGGCCTAAGAAGAAGTGAGGATGTGGAGCACGGGAAGATAAACTTGATCATGGGGAATAGGAAGGCTTCACCTGTTTCCAAGATTGGAGTTTATACTTTGTTGCTGAATAATGGGTTAAAATTAGATTTGAATAAATGTGTGTACTCGTCTGAAATGGCGAGGAATATTATTTCCTTTCATGCTTTGTACAAACAAGGTTTTACCTTTTCGTTTGATAATGAATGTGGTGGTATTAATGCTTTCTTTAATAACGTGTTTTATTTAAAGCATTACCTTGTGATGGTGTGTATGAAACTGTGTCGATTGTAGACAACTTAGGAAATAATGTGTTGTATATTGATTCTTCTACTAGCCTAGATAAAGCATCATTGTGGCATTGTCGTCTTGGACATGTAAACAAGAAACGCATAGGCCAACTCCAAAAGAGTGGAGTCTTGGAGTCATTCGACCTTAAATCGGATGATAGTTGTGAATCTTGTCTACTTGGAAAGATGACAAAATCACCCTTCACTGGAACTTGTGAAAGGGGTGAGGGTTTGTTGGACCTAATACATACTGATGTATGTGGACCATTCAAAACCGCCACAAGGGATGCTAATCGGTATTATGTGACTTTTATTGATGATTTTAGTAGATATGGGTATGTCTACTTAATCAAACATAAGTCAGAAACCTTTGAAAGGTTTAAGGAATTCAAACAGGAAGTAGAAAATCAATTGGGCAGGAACATTAAGATGCTTCGATCCGATCGAGGTGTGAGTATCTTGGTACCGAGTTCCTTGACTATCTTAAGGAGTGTGGGATTGTCTCACATTGACTCCTCCCAGGACACCACAGCTAAATGGTGTAGCTGAGAGGTGTAATCGAACCTTGTTAGGCATGGTTCGCTCTATGATGAGTCGAGCTTCGCTACCAATCTCTTTTTGGGGGTATGCCTTAGAGACTGCCGCCCATATCCTTAATCTAGTCCCTACAAAGAAGGTTACCAAAACACCTCATGAGATGTGGACAGGGAAGGTTCCCAATTTGGACCACATCAAAATTTCGGGTTGCCAAGATTTCGTGAGGCGTGAAACTCATGATAAGCTCGAACCCCGAAGTGAAAGGTGTATTTTCATCGGCTACCCACAGAAATCCTTCGGTTACCTCTTCTACAGACCCAGTGAGAATGTGGTCTTTGTAGCAAGAAGAGGGATCTTTCGTGAGAGAAAAATTATAAGCCAAGGAGACAGTGGGAGGCAAATTGATCTTGAAGAAATCCAAGAATCAATTGGTGAAGTAACCTCAAACACTAGCAATCAACCTAAGGAGGAAACTCCTGTTGAGCCAGCTGACGAGTCCGTACCTCCAAGGCGTTCCACACGGGTTAGGAACACACCTGCGTTTTATTATGGCTTTCATATTACTACGGAAGGTGATACATTTATCAGTGATAGTACACTGGTAAATTTGGATGAACCTAGCAGTATTAAGGAAGCCATGGCAGGCCCGGAGTCTGCTAAGTGGAAGGAGGCTATGGACAGCAAGATACAATCCATGTATGACAATCAAGTTTGGAACTTGGTTGACAATGTACCAAGCCGTAAAACAGTCGGGTGCAAATGGATCTTCAAGAAGAAGACCGACATGGAAGGAAAAGTGCATACTTATAAGGCTCGACTAGTTGCGAAGGGTTTTACTCAGACTCAGGGTATTGATTATGATGAAACCTTCTCGCCGGTAGCAAATATTAAGTCTATTAGGGCTATGCTAGCCATTGCTGCATTTCATGATTATGAAATATGGCAAATGGATGTCAAAACCGCTTTTCTTAATGGAAAATTGGCTGAGGATGTGTACATGAATCAGCCAGAGGGTTTTGTCAGTGCAGAGTACCCTAATAGAGTATGCAAGCTTGAGAAATCCATTTATGGATTAAAACAAGCATCTCGTAGCTGGAATCTTTGTTTCGATGAGAGGTTCAGAGTTTGGCTTCTTGAGAAGTGAAAATGAGTCTTGCGTGTATGTTAGAGCTAGTGGGAGTATAGTTAGCTTCTTGGTACTGTATGTGGATGACATACTACTTATAGGAAATGACATCCCAACCTTGCAGGAGGTTAAGTCCTGGCTTGGGAAGTGCTTTGCTATGAAGGACCTAAGGGAAGCTGCCTATATCCTAGGGATAAGGATATTAAGAGAAAGGAGTAAAAGACTAATTGGACTTAGTCAGAGTACCTACTTGGATAAGGTGTTGAAAAGGTTCAACATGCAGAATTCCAAGAAAGGAGATTTACCGATCCAAAGCAATACCAAGCTGAGTAAGACTCAGAGTCCGAGTACAGAGGCAGAGATAGCTGAGATGAGCCAATTACCGTATGCTTCCGCTGTTGGCTTGATCATGTATGCTATGACTTGTACCCGCCCTGATGTGGCCTTTGCTTTGAGCATGGTCAGCAGGTATCAGGGGAACCCTGGCAAGGCTCATTGGACTGCGGTAAAGAACATTCTCAAGTACCTGCAGAGGACTAAGGATTGGATCCTTACCCTTGGTGGGAGTGATGACTTGAGAGTATTAGGGTATAGTGATGCTAGTTTTCAGACTGATAGGGATAACTTTCGCTCTCAGTCGGGCTGGGTCTTTACCTTAAATGGAGGGGCAATCTCTTGGAAGAGTTCCAAGCAGGAGACATGGTGATTCGACTTGTGAATCAGAGTATATAGCAGCGAGTGAAGCGGAAGGAGGCGATATGGCTGAAGAACTTCATCGGAGACCTTGGAGTTGTGCCAGCTATTAAGGAGCCTATGGAAATTTTCTGTGACAACAATAGTGCGGTTGCTTTAGCTAAAGAACCGAGAGATCATGGAGATCCCGACACATTGACAGAAATATCACTTCATAAGACACAAGATAGAAGAAGGACTCCTCGTGGCAAAGAGGATATCGTCAGATGAGAACCCTGCGGATCCCCTTACAAAGGGACTGACGAGGGCTAAGCATTTTCAGCATGCGAGGCGCATCGGGCTGAGGGACGATATTAGTTTTACAGATTAGATAGATTCTCTGAAACTTGTAAAATGTAATCGACATTTGATGATGAATAAAATTGTGATTTATTTATGAGTAAGGTGTTGCTATCATTGTCAATTATTTACAATTGTTTCAGCTTTGCATGTTTTGACTTCCAGAATAATTAATTTATTCAAACCTCCACAATCGGTCATACGTCGGAAGTAGGTATGAATCAAGATTGTCATGAATTGGGTTTGTAGATGGCTAAAAGTGTTTAGACATGGCAATGGTTGCTACAACGTTCATGAGTACTCATAAGTTATGAGTATTGGAATAAACCCACGCTCACTTGTATCACTTCATGGAATTTATCTCGAGTGATCGTGAGACGGTAATATCATATAAGTCTTCAAACCTAGAGATATGAGTTGTTACCTATGAGTTGGTTGTGCATTGATTGCACGTAAACGCATCAGTAACTTGATGTTATAAAACGTGCCTTTGTGTACAATTCAACAAGTAGTAGAACAAGCATATGAGTCGAAGTTTATCTGTTCCTTCTAGAAATAGAAGCGATATCTGGGCCCCTCGATGATTTTGTGTTGACCCATGTACCGGGCCCGGTCAGAACTAAATTGATGTGTTCAGTTGAGTTCTTTGTCAAACAAATCGGAAATCGAGAAACAACTGCCAGACAATAAGCAAGACATAGTTCCATGTGTTTGTCCGGCTGATATCATGAGAACAGAGGATTATATGATCACTTATCTTAAAATGGCGCTTCATAGTTCAACAGAGTTTTCGAGAGCTACGATTGCTGGTTGGTTCCTGAAGTAATATAGGCAAATACAGTTATTAGACTTATCCAAGTGGGAGTCTGTTGGATAAGGTGTCTAAGTCCATAACTTATTTGGTATATACTTGACCCGACCCGACATGGTCCATTTGGGTTGCATTTCATCCAAACTATTTATGGATAATTTTATGAGAGTTATACACATATGATTATTAATATATTATAAGTTATAATATATTAATATGAAGTTTTATTTAATTAGTCTTAGTCTTAAATTAATTATGAATTAATTTAGAGATTAAAAGGAAGACTAATTAGATTGTGGGCTATTGGTTTTATATGGTGTGGGCTAACACTCATTTGTTAATGGGCTAGGCTTGTATGGAAGTCCATGGATGATCCATGGAGCTTTTAACCCATGGATCCTTGGAAAAGGAAAGGTCATGGGTTATTAGGGTTTCACCCTAATCATGTACACTATATAAGCATGCTTTTGTTGCATGAAATAGCCACTAGTGTGTGTGTTTGTGTGTGGCCGAAATTATAGTGTGTATACACTCTCTCAAAGTTTTCCAAGTGTTTGTGGTGATTTGTGATTCCATTTGAGGCATTCACACTATTGGTGCTTGGCCCTCAAACTCCTTAAGAATCAAACTCATCAAAAAGGTATGTAATCTCATCTAATTCTTTTATGTTTAAAAGTACCCCATGCCATGTTAGATAGGTTATGAACCTTGGAAAATTATTATTTTACATGTATTTAGACAAACATAGATCCAAGTTTTATTAGGGTTGCATGCACACTTAGGAAGTCTTAGATTGCTCAAAACCCAACAGTATTAGCATTTTTTTGAGCAGCAGCTTGAAGGGAATCTAGAAAGAGTTGAGCTTCTGAGATTAGTTTTTCGAATTTTGTGGTTGCTTCATTGCATTCTTTAGTAGAGGTTTCCACTGCAAGCGAAGCCTTCTGGCATCGAGAAGTTGAGGCATCAATGGCCTTCGCTTCCTTTGAGATAAATCTTTCATGCTCCTTAACTGCAGAAGAGAAGAGGGCCTTGAGAATAGCTTCTAAATAGGGATTAGCAGAGGAAGAGGAAAGTAACTAATCAAGCTTATCAGTCACAACTTTAAGATGTCGCTTGGTGATAGGAGCATCATTCATCGTCGCTCTGAACACAATAAGGACTGAAGTAAGTGGAATCAAACTCCAAGTCCTCACCTCCAAGAACAATGTTGGTGTCAGTTGAACGGGTAGGAGATGGATGTTGAGTAGTGACATGGGTATAGGGACATGTTGAGTAGAAGAATGAAACCCCGTATCAGATACGTTGGTCTGAACTCCCGTGGTTGTGGTAGTAATAGCGTTAACAAAAATGGGTGTAGGGATGGGAATCATGGAAGAAGGTTGAGAGGTGATAACCGGGAAGGTTGTGGGTAAGGAAATAGGAATAGAAGCAGGTGGAGGAGAAGGTGCTTTAGAGCGAACAGGTACCTCTGGAGTCGGCGAGTGAGGAGGGGTTGCACCACGAATTGAAACCTCCTCATCAGAGCTTTCTCTCTCAGATACAGTAGGAGAGGGTCGTTTATGTCCAGTAGGGACATAATCAGAATCTGAATGACTTGTGGACTGAAGGATAAGCCTCCGAGCCGGTTTCTTTGTCTTTTTCTTCTTAGGATGTGAAGGTGCCGCCTGCTCAGTCTTTCGTTTCTTTGGAGTTTGCCCCTTAGATCCTTTGATCACCAGTCCTTCACTATGTTTATCCTGTTTCTTTCCCCTATTGGATGGTTTATCCGCTTCCTCAATAGAACGAACCATCACTGGTCTGAGTTCCCTTGGGCACGAAGATGGAAGTTTCTTGTATTCTTGAATGATTGCACTTTGGTTAGGTACACATGCATACATGGATGCCAAAATCGAGCCAACGAACAGATACTTAGAAGGATCAATGAATAGGATCTTGGTTTTTTGAAACATAGCAATAGAAGAGAGAAGCAAATTTGCCATGATTGGGACATGGAGATGATCCATCGCCCATTTTGTGATAAGGGACTAGAACCTTCCACAGGAGACTTCAGAATGGCGTGAAGAAGAAGATAAGCTTTGAACAAGTTATTGCCATAAAACTGAGCCATAATCCAAATGTACAGCATTATACAAGTCGTAAAGTAGGGCCATAAAGGACTTGCTTGCACCATCAGATCCAGTGCTTTGCTCAGAAAGACCTTTGAACAGCAATGTGAAGAGGCCGCTCCATTGATGAGGAAGACATGATTTCTTGAACTTCGTCACTGTGGTTAGGGTTTCAGTGTACCCCATATTATAGAACATTGAGAAAAATTGACCAGTGGTGATAGAATCGGGGTTTACCATGGTGGGTTCATGAGCAAGACCTAGCAGGTTGCAGAAGCTGTTCATGGAAATTGAGGTCTTCTCATTGTGAATGTCAAAGTGTAGTCTCTCAACAACTTTGTCATAGTATGCAGTGGAGTAGATGTGAGAAAGGCAAGACATGGGAACAACCTCCACCTTTGATAGAGCGATAACGAGTGGAGAGTATTTGAGGCACTCCATAATTTTCAGCACGTAAGGTTCATAGTCTGAAGGCTTAAGGTCGATAATAAGATTCCGGTTAGGTTTAATGACCAGAAGGTTGGATTGAGTAGAGGTTTCTTGAACAGAAGACGATTCCGCCATTGATGAAGGTGAAGAGAAGATGATGAACAGTGAGAGAGATCACCTTTTTCTTTTAGAAGATTTGTGAGCGGTAAAAGAGTAAAGTTGATCATGAGAAGCCCTTTTATATGTGAGATTAGGAAAGAGAAAGATCCACCAAAAATCTCATCCTTTTGTGAAACGGCTCCTGATGCGATGGGTAGTAGACTGTTGACAACCCCAATGATGACGCATGAGAGAGAACAAACGTTTCACTTTTTATGTGCCTTTCCATAAAAGGTACATTTTTCAAATCGACGCAACGATTGGATAATTGCTGACTCATTTATCGTGCTTTATCTGAAACGTCACCCATATAAATAACACGAATCGTTGTCACCCTTATAATATCGATCGAAAATCACCATAAAGCTTTTTAGAACCCAAGCTATAAAAATTAGCTCATATATAATATAGAACCAGACTTTTGGAAAATCAAAGATTTTCGTGCATAGAGTGTGAATGAAAAATAAATAAATCGAACTTTATGGGATATTGTGATGTCAATTAAGACATAAAACAGTAGATCCCGGGCACAAATCTCTTCCTTTCAAGTCAAGAGAGACTTCAAAGTGTCTATGTGGATTCCCGTGAAAATACGATCAAATGTTTGTTAAGTAACATTTAAATGCGTCTTTTTAATCATAGGCTTTAGAGGTGGCTAAGCTTCAACCGAACTTCGATGCTTAATATAAGACCGAATGTTGGAAAAAGTACCTGTGAGACCAATGTGGTCTGTTGAACAAGTAGGTTTGATAGTTTGAAAGTAACAAAATTCAGAATACAAATCTCAAAAACAAAACTAAATTGGATCTTCTGGGAAGAAATGTCTTGGTGTTAGATAATTTCATAAAGATCACGCAAGAAAAATAAAATGAGACTTCTGCAGGTAACAAGTTAAATCTTGAATATTAAAATTCACTATCAATTCAGTATTGGTGTTGGACGTAGGGTCTCACTCAGCATGTGGTGTACGTATCTAAGATCATAAACACAGATTTTGTGTAACCATAAACCTCAGTGGTAAGTGCCGAGAGTCTCAAGGGTTACATGAATGAGATAAAGTGTAATGGAGAAAAATGATGGAGGTGGTTTAAGAAGCGAATGTACCTCTGCTATAAATGTAGGACCTAGCAGAAAACTCCAAACTCAATATGAGAAGAATAAGGTAGTTCCTGATTAGAGTGAATGTAACAGCCTAATTTGGGAAACATGATTTGTATTTATCACATTATTAAGGCTTCACTGAAAATCATTTGAGGCTTTGGACAACATGCAACAACACGCATCTAGGGACACTTAACTAGTCTTATGAAAAGAATTTATACCTGTTGCAGCTCCACCATTGAGAGAATTTTTTATACAACAAAGGAAAATGGAAAAATATTTTTGTATTTTATGAAAAATCTCGAGAAAGAGAAAATAAGGAAAAAATAGTTTTGGATTTTATATATATAAATTTTTTTTTAAAAGAAAAGATAAAAATAAATATGAAAAATAGTATACAAAAGAGTGCAGCCAAAGTTCCTTTTTGTCAAAAAGAAGCGAACGAGCTCAGAAGGGCCGAACCCAAAATAGACTGAGCGTTCGCTCTATTTCTCTTCTTACCTTTGATTAAGCAAAGGCGATTTTGGTACTGATTTTGCTTCCATCATTCCTAGGCCTTGTAAGATCTTATTAAAACTTGCTTCAGGTAAAGCCTTATTGAATATATCTGCTAATTGATCAGTGGTCCTAATGAAATGAATCTCTATGTTACCATCTTCCACATGATCTTTGATGAAGTGATATCGTAGTGCTATGTGCTTTTTCTTTGAGTGTTACACTGGGTTATGACAAATCCTAATTGCACTTTCGGAGTCGCAATATAGTGGGATTTTCTTCATATTCAGCCCATACTCCCTAAGCTGACTTTGTATCCAAACGACCTGAGATGTGCATGAGGCAGCGACTATATATCCAGCTTTAGCCGTGGAGAGAGAACACACATGTTTGTTTCTTTGATTGCCATCTAACCAATTTACCATCAAGAAATTAGCATCCTCCAGTAGTGCTTTTATGATCCAATCCACAACCTCCTAAGTCAGCATCTGAGAATGCTTGCACAAAAAATCCTAAGTTGGCTGGATACCATAGACTGAGAGAGGAGGTTCGCTTTAGATAGCGAAAGATGTTCATCACGGCCAACATGTGAGGTTCGCGTGAATTGGCTTGAAATCGAGCACAATAGCAGACTGAGAACATAATGTCCGGCCTGCTGGCTGTAAGATACATTAGTGATCCAATCATCTGACGATAAAGCATAATGTCAGCATCCGGTTCGTCCAAATATGGTGTCAGCTTGGTGCCAAATGCCATAGGAACCTTCACCCTTGACTCGCCTAACATCCCAAACTTGGAAAGTAACGTCTTTGTATATGTCTCCTGATTGATAAAAATGCCTCCGGGTCCCTATCTAATATTTAAGCCAAGGAAAAAGTTAATTGGACCCATTGAGCTAATCTCAAATTTAGTTTCGATCAGCTTCCAGAATTCAGCTGTTAGGTTGGGAGTCGTGGAGCCAAAGATGATGTCATCAACATAAATTTGGACTATCATAAGGTGGCTACCCTCTCTCTTACGAAAGAAGGTTGGGTCAACCGAACCTTGTTTAAATTTGGATATTTTTAAGAATCGAGTTAGGGTTTCATATCATGCTCTGGGAGCATACTTCAAACCATATACTACTTTGTCCAGAATATAGAAGTGATCCGGATGCTTCTCGTTCACGAAGCCTAGTGGTTGCTCACAGTTTCTTCAAGTTATCCGTCGAGAAAGGCACACTTTATGTCCATTTGATACACTTCAAAAATTTTGTGTGCAGCATAAGCAAGAAAAATTCGAACCGACTCTAATCTTGCAACTGGAGCGAAGGTCTCTTCATAATATATACCTTCCTCTTGACAGTATCCTTTCACCACCAACCGGGCCTTGTTACGAATCACATTCCCTTTCTTGTCCATCTTATTTCTAAATACCCATTTGAGACCGACAACCGAAGCATCCTATGGATTGGGAATTAGACACCATACTTTGTTTCTTTCAAACTCGTTCAGCTCATCCTGCATGGCTTGTACCCAATCAGAATGATCAAGGGCTGAATTTACCGTCTTTGGTTCAACTTTGGAGACGAAAGAGTTGAGCATGCAAAATTCTACTTGAGAGAATAATGTAACTTGCTTTGTTATCAGGTGTGATCGAGTTAATACCTTTTCAGAGGATTCCCCAATTATTTGACTTTGAGGATGGTCTTTGGTCCATTTTATGAGATGAGGGTAATTTGGATCACAAGAGGGATCCAGTTCAGCATTGATTTCTTCTTCAAATTCTGATTGTGTATCATCATCATTAGCATTTGTATTCTCCCCCCTCGAATGACGATACAAGTTCAATTTATGGATCAGAACGCAGCCCTTCATTTGGACTTTAAATTTTAAAATATTTTGATAAAACGGTCCCCATGTACGTTGGGCGTACATTTAGGTATGCACAACATACATGCACGCCTTGGATCAAGAAGCTTAGCCACATACATTGGGCATACGTGGGCATACGCAGGGCATATGCAGCCAAAAACCAAACCCTAATTTAAGGGCATAAGCCTTATTTAAGCAACATTATGGCCTTTGGACACTCACCCTTATCAACCTCCACTGGTCTATATATCCCATTTAACCCTAGTTCTCCCTTTTGAGAGATTTTGAGCTTGGTTGAGATTTTTGTGGCTTTTTGGTGTGCTTTCAAGAAGGAGAACTTGGAGACCAAGCATTTCTTGAGGTTGAGCTTCTAGATGCAGAGTCTTCATCAACTTAGGAAGCTTTTGAAGGTAAAAAGTTCTTACATTGATTATTCATTTTGGTTATTGGATCTTAGGGCTTGTTTATGAGTTCATTTTGGTCCCATGGGTTCTTTTTGTGAGTTTAGGTAACTCCAAAAGTTAGAAGTGCGAGTTCTCAATCCCTTTAACGTTTTAGATGCATAAAAATGTCATCTTGGTGGTTGATATGAGTCCATGCATGAATTTAAGCCCTTAATGTGAGCCTTCTTGGACAAAAATGAATGTTGGGTTCCATTAAGACATGCTAAGGCACAAAGTTGCCAACTTTATGTCTTAGAACCCCATAATGGCTGAGATCTGAAAGTTGGATGGA